ATTTTTTAGTGTAAATGTAACTTTAAAAGTTTTTTCGGAATTTAGACAGAGCTTATTTGCCCTATACCACAATTCAACATCTAGCCGCGCCCCCATGACGTCCTCCTCAAGAAATCAAAATTCATGCCTCAGAGGCAGGGTGAGCCAAAAAAACTAACCTATCGGATTTATGGGTTAAAATGAACCTACATACCGAGCAAAAAATTTCCCTGCAAGGCAAAATTTTTTGCTCAATTTTAAAAAGTGTCGGTGAGCATTCTAAGTTTTCATTGAAATAACACGTAAAAAAATCTTTTTTCATTAAAAAGACTATAACTTTTGAACCGTTTGAGATAAAATTTTTTACGTCGCGGATTTTTGTTGAGCATAAAATTTCCCAAAGAATCTATACCATGATTGTTTTTTTTAAAACTGCAGTTTTAGTGATTTTTTACACTTTTCAAAGCTTTCAAACATACGAATTTTTGAATTAAAAAAAATAATCCTGGTATAGATTCTTTGGGAAATTTTATGCTCTACAAGAATCCGCGACGTAAAAAATTTTATCTCAAACTGTTCAAAAGTTATAGTCTTTTTAATGAAAAAAGATTTTTTTACGCGTTATTTCAATGAAAAACTTAGAATGCTCACCGACACCTTTTAAAATTGAGCAAAAAATTTTTCCTTGCAGGGAAATTTTTTGCTCGGTATGTACGTTCATTTTAACCCATAAATCCGATAGGTTAGTTTTTTTGGCTCATTGCCTCTTCTGCTTATGGTCGTGTCATCAGCGAATAGGACAAAGTTAGTACTTCTTGAAGAATTTGGCAAGTCATTAATGTAAATTAAAAATAGTATAGGCTCAAGTATCGAACCTTGGGGTACTCCGTATTTAATTTGTTTGGTCTCAAACATCTTGTTATTATGACAGAGTCTGTTAAATCCTATTTAAGATAAGATTTAACCATTGACATACTTTTAATGCTAAAATTATAATATTTTAATTTATTGACGGAAAGATATCGTGGGTTACGCAGTCAAATGCCTTACTTAGGTCCAAGAACAGAGAACTCAGATATTCCCTCTCAAAGCAGCCACTTATCTCTTTAGGTAATAAGAGTCTGTATTGCCAGTGTTGTTGATTTGTTTTTTCTGAAACCAAATTGATAACTATTAAAGAGTCTATTTTCCTCAAAGTACACCAGTAGTTGACGCTTCAGAAATTTTACCAAACACAGGCACGACAGAAATAGGTCTGTAGTTGGTTTTGTCGTTTTTGTCATTTTTTTATACACGGGTACCACTCTAGAGCATTATAGGCAATTTGGATATATATTTTTATTTGTACATGTATTTATAAGATTAGTCAACGGGATAAGAATTTCATATTTTATACCCTTAATAGTTTTAGAATTTAAGTTAAATGCATCTAGACTTTTTTATTTTTTAATTCATTAATTATAGAGCTAACTTCATTAAAGGAAATTTGTTTAAAAATAAAACTATTTGAATTCGCTGATATATTTTGTTTTAAAAACTGAGAAAAATGCGTGTTACTTGTTGGTATTTTATTGACTATTTCTTCCGAAGAATTTATAAAATGTAGATTAAGACAATTTGTCGCCCTAGGCCAATAATAATGGCGCCTATAATTACAGCTCATGTAGTACCTATGGTATAAATATAACACAATAATTTATTTTTATATAGAAAAACAAAACAATAAAGAACTAAATTAATTTTTACAATTTTAAATAACCTAAAACAGAATTTTACCAGTTATTTTTGTGGGTTATATCTCTTTTGCAGAAAGGCGTCCAAGTGACAGGACCTTTTGCAAGGACAATTTTATTTTCCTGGATTTAAAATCGGAAAAGGAATCAATAATATTTTCAAAATTTGTTTTATTGACTTCTTCTGCTTCTATAGATAGACGAGTTAGATTCGCAGACTTCTCATACTGAACATAAATTTGCTAAATTATAAGGATGATTTTTTTTAACAAATATTTCTTTATTAAAAAAATATTCAATAAAAATATTTTAACTAAATGATTTATTGTTTGTTTTTCGCTTTATAATATATTATTTTATTGGCAAAATTAAATTAAAAGTTTACTCGTTAATTAACCTCACGGATGTGTTTATATTTTAAATTGAAATTACTAATATAAAATTTCATATTTCTGTAACCGTTCAAATTAGCGACTTAATTTTTGTTTTAAAAACTTTGTCAATGTTCTGACTACATTTGACTCAATATAAAGGGTGTCCACTTAAGAGTGCTCTAACTTTAAAATGAAATAAAACAAACTACACTTAAGATATTAGGAAAAAAATATATTTATTTAAAAGAACATCCTATGGCATTAATTATGAAAAATAACATCTTTTAAATGCCCCCGCGGCTGCGCTCCACAGCGCGCATTCTGCAGATCAAATTTTCTATCACTTTTTCGCACATTTCGGGTTCGATTTCATTTATTATACGAGTAATGTTGGCCTTCAGTGCTTCAATTGTTCGTGGCTTATTCACGTACACAAGGGACTTTACGTAGCCCCACAAAAAAAGTCCAGCGGCGTTAGATCGCATGATCTCGTTGGCCACTGGATATCGCCGCCGCGTATAATGACGCCGTTAAAACGTTTGGCGAATTAAACATTGATTTTCTTGGTAAATTTTAATAATTTGAATGCGTTGAGCAATCGTGTAACGCTCCATTATCAAATGTCATAATATGCCAACAAAACTTCAAAATATTTGACAGCTGTGTCTGTACTGACTTAGCCATAGCCGCCTATCAAACATCGAGCGTACCTAATTGGACACCCTTTATATGTGTAGAAATTTAAGAAGCGCTCACATTTCAAGTATAAGTCTGCAAAAAATCAGAATTTTAGATTTAGATATTCTAGAATTAATACAACGGTTAATGTTACGAATCACCCACCCTCATAGTGGAATAAAATCGCTTCTCCGTTTGGAATTAAAATTCTTTATAAATTATACTATGCAAAATATGACAATTGGAGTTTTCTCACCATTTAATTTTTTTGATGGTGACGTGAATATTTGCTCGTTTGATACTCACAGCCATCATTGTTTCTTTGCAAATCTTGCAAAAAACCTTCCTGCTATCGTCAGGGAACTCTTCCAAGCATTCAAAGGTTGAAACAATAATGTCTCTTATGCAAGGATGCTTGAAAACTGTATTATTATCTGTCACAGACATATTGCAAATAGCCAAAATAAAAAAAGTAATGTTAATTCAAATTACCACAATAAAATAATATAACACTAATAATTATTAGCAAATCAATTGTCTAATAAAATAACACAACAATTATTACAATAACACTGCAGCACTTCACTTGTAACTTTTAAAGTAAGGAAGGTATACCTAAATTATGAAGGTAGTTATTTTTACCAAAATAAAAATTCGAGATTAAATTACGAAGAGGTAAAAAAATATTTAGCAAAGTAAAAATGAGAAGATTTAATACTTCGAGGTATTAAAAAATGATCATTTTATTTTTCTTTAAATTTTACTGGTTAAAAAACATTTTTTATTCAATAATTTTTTTAAATTAAATAATCTTTTTTATTGTTCTATTGTAGCCAATTTATGTTTAGTATACTTTTAATTTATCTTTTTTACTTGTCATACTAACCATTTTCTGTTTTAGTTTTGTGATTTATAAATTAATTATTCATTTTTGAAAAAAAATTGCCCCAAAAATATTATTATTATTATTTATTTTTTTGTTTCAGCGAGTCCACTATAAGGGTGGGTGATTCCTAACATTAACCGTTGTATTAATTCTAGAATACAATTTAAAATTCTGATTTTTTGCATACTTATACTTGAAATGTAAGCACTTCTAATAGCAATACAAAAATTTTAAATTTTTTTAAAGATTTTGAAAAAAAATTGCAATATAGAATTATCAAAATCGTCCATCAAAAACTTTACCCTGCGGTGAGCTATGTGAATGATTGAAAATTTCTATACATATATATCGAGTCAAATGTAGCCAAAACATTTACAAAGTTAAAAAAAAATTAAGTCGCTAACTTCAACGGTTGTAGAAATATGAATTTTTATCCAAGAGTCCTGAAATGCGCGCTATAATACATCATACATATAACTAAACAAATTTTCGAACGCAAAAATGAAAAATGCACCGATTCTTGATTCAACTACCTAAACCCCGTATAGCGAGCAGATCAGGCAAGATAGAGTAAGCATGTCGACACGGTTTCGAATATCCGAGCACTGTCACATACAAATAAAGAATTCTTAACTATTTTGAATTAAATAGATATTATTGTAAATTTTACAACAGTGCCTAGCGACTTTTTATTGGTTGTTTTCTATTCGTTGCAAGGTCAGAGAGAGAACGATAAAACCGGGTGGGACTTTATGATGTCCATCATAGTACATAGGACAAGATCCAATTTGCCCCAAGAGGTGGCATATTTGACAATTGCACATTGATATTAGTGGATTTAAAAATTCCCACATGGACTCCCCTTTAAAACACAAAGGTCTTGCCCGTTTATTATTTAAGTCAAAAGTTAGGTTATGGATATGCAATTGTCAAATACACATTAATATTAACATATCGCCTGTGCAAATAAACGAATTTTGAAATCTTTGTTTATGAAAATTAACGCACATGAGCACAACCACCATTCTGTGTTGGACTGACTTGCGCCGGCAAAACTCGCAATGATTTGTATGTAGCGATTTATAAGCAAAATTGTTATTATCCAATGCGTTATAAATAAAAAATTCTAATTAAATTTGTATATTTAACGATCAATTTTTATAAATACACAGGAATATTTTATTCGGAAAATTGTTTACAAGTTAACCTGAATATTTATTTAAATTTGCATGGAAATCAGTTTTTATTTTAAATAAAAAATAATCAAACAGTTTTATATTTTCACAAAAATGGGGAATATGTCGAGGTTATTAGTAAAAATATTATTAACACCAATAATTTTGATAATATTTCATCTATAACTATTTATTAAAATAATAAAATGTACACTTACAAGTTGACCTTCTGGACTAGACTGCTGATTAACGAGATTGCTGGCTTCAAGAGCTGGATTTAGTTGTGAGCTGGAAGTTGTTGGAGGGACTGCTGTTGTTACAGGCAACAGGGAACCCATCTAAAATAATTTATTTCAGAATTAAAGAAGTTTTTTGGATTAATACAAACAGATAGCGGTCTAGGGATGAAAATATCACAAATCATTTCAAATATTTTGTTTGTATAAGTAAAAGGCACTTTTCTGGTAATATAATTTATTTAAAAAACTGACTAGTTTCGCCTATGAGAATCATCAGGGTTTGTACAAGAATTTTTTTTTGATGATGCTTCATAGGCGAAACTAGTCGGTTTTTAAAATAAATTAAATCAGTTTTATTTTCTTTAATTTTTATATTATTTTATCGCGGTTTATATTATTAATTTTGTGTTTTTAAATAAATTTAATTTATAATGTATTATTAAAATTCATATAAATTTGCATTAAGTATTTCTTAAAGATCCCCAAAAAAAAGTTTTGCTTTTATTTTAAATTTGTCATTGTTTTCTTTAAAAGTAAATTTATATAACACAAGAAGACATCTGCCATATTGCATTTTTAGTAATTATATTTATAATTCATGAGTATTTTTATTTTTAATTTTATAGCTATAAAAATGGGAGTGGTTAAATACTATAATGCCCTATGCTTAATATTCATCTAATATAAACATTTGTAAACATCTATTTTTAATAATATATACAAACAAAAATATTTTGCATTCTACGAAAACAAACAAAAATATTTTGCATTTAAAATATCCAGCGAAAAAGGCAAAAAGCTGGGTCAAATGTATCAGATGGATAATGCAATTTTTATTTAAAATGCAAAACAAATACGTCTTGCTTAAACTAAAATAAATTAAATTTTACTACTAATAAAATTTATATTTAATATAATTTTATTAAAATAACAAATGTTTTTATTGTTGATTTTTTATTTAATGAATATTTCATGTCGAATTATGCGAATTAAGAGGTTTTATTTTATTATTTTTTTAATACTAACAGTTTAATTAATATATTCGGATACAGTATAATAATAATATAAACTATTAATGTTACATTGGACTGTCGTCATCTTGGTTTTCTTGATTTTCACAACGTTTCGATTGGTTTTCTCCAATCGTCTTCAGGTGATAATGGTAAAATGTTTCGAAACTTTTGTTTAAATAGATTGTCGATCTTGTTCATTTCGCTGGAACTGTTTAATCTTACGTAGGATTGGTTTTCACAGCGGTTTGATTTCTACGCTTGGTTTGCTGAAAATATTGTTATTCTGGCTGATATATGTAGCTTCCAGGAATTTTTTTTCAGCCAGTATGATTCTCTGTATAGAATTTTTGTGTTTCATCATGAGATATTGTAGTGTTCCTTCCATGCATGTTCAGCTAATCCAGATTTCGTGGTTTCCCCTTTTGTTGTGTGTGTTTTGTGTTATTTTATCCTAACTTCTAGTGGTCTCTTTGTTTCTCCTATATAGGCTTGTCCGCAATCACAAGGGACGTGATAAATTAAGTTTTTTGGTAGGTTTTGTGTATACACCTATAGGTTTTGTTCTGGTTAATAGGCTTCTGAGTGTGTTTCCTGAAGAAAAAACCGTACTCCTAGAGGTTTTGCGATTCTTCTAATTTTCTCGGAAATGCCCTGTTCGTAAGGTATTGTAAGTCCTATTAATGTGGTGTGCTCTTTTTTATTGCCGCTGTTTTTCTCTGTTCGTTCAAATTTTGTATGATCAGCTTCGTGGGATAGCCGTTGTTGGTTAGTGATGTTTTCCATCTCCCTGTCAAATTGTGCCTTTGTGCTGCATAAGTTTTTTGCACGATTAATAAGCAAAACCCACAAAAAACCTAGCAAAAAACGTAATTTATCACGTCCCTTGTGATTGCGGACAAGCCTACTCTCTAAAAATGAAATAGTCAAAATTCTACTATTTGAATTAGTAAAAGCATTTTTTACTAATAAAATAGTCGTTTTAACTTTTAAATAGTTATTTTTTACTATGTAAATAGTTAAAGTTTGACTAATTTAAGATTAGTCACCATATTTGACTATTTCTGACAGTTAAAAGTAACTAATTTCTTTAGTCGTTTACGGCCAACAACAAAGTATTATTTGAATTAAATGCATATACCTCTCCATGGTTAAATGACCCATAAAACAAATAAAGATGCAAAAAGTTTAGCTCAAAATAGCAAGACAAATAATATATTAAACTCTAAAATATTATGAACCATATTTATTGACAAATAAAATTAGTTTTTATAAGAGCCGCTGACAGCCGAATGCGTTAGACGTTAGCTTGACAAACTTGTCAATCCCAGGCTGGGTCAAAACTTTTTTTAAATTTAAATTTACTAATTTGACTATTTCATTCAGTGGAATTTGACTAATTATTAGTGACTGCTTTTTCACTATGACAATTAGTCAAATATGACTTATAATTAGTTATTTTTGACTAATTCATTTTAAGAGAGTAGAAGAAACAAAGAGACCACTAGAAGTTAGGGTAAAAGAACATAAAATACACACAACAAAAGGGGAAACCACGAAATCTGGATTAGCTGAACATGCATGGAAGGAACACCACAATATATCCTGAAAGCTACATACATCAGACAGAATAACAATATTTTCAGCAAACCAAGCGTAGAAATTAAACCGCTGTGGAAACCAATCCTACGCAAGGTTAAACAAAAGTTTCGAAATATGTTACCATTATCACCTGAAGACAATTGGAGGCAACCAATCGAAAAGTTGTGAAAATCAAGTAAACCAAGATGACGACAGTCCAATGTAACATTACTACAACTACTTCATCTACAAACACCAAATCACTAATATAAACTATATTTCACACAAAGATAAACAATATTTAGGAATTGAAATTAAATTTTAAGGAATCTAATTTATTAGAAAAAATTGAACCTACACCTCGCCAGTATTTTGTTTTGAGTACGTTCCACCAACTTCAAATACCGACAGACAGCTGTTTCGACCTATATAGGGTCTCATCAGTGTTGGGCAACTTGGTGTAGTGGAACACACTCAAAACAAAGGTCTCCCTAACCTTATATGCTCAGTTGGTAAGCCAACAGAGGAGTAGGTTCGATTTTTTCTTATGAATATTACCAGTAATGGGTCAAGAAAGTTTCTTAAAGAAACTAAGAAAATTAAATGTTTATCTAATTTATTATTACAAAACAGGAAACGACATTTCTTAGTTGTTAACAATCGTGGAAACCAATTCAGTTAATTGTTGGATATAACTATCCAGTAGTCAATTCATCTCACAATTTATTGTTATAGCATGAATTTCAATGTATTGTGTTTACGTAGCCCAGTTCGGACCGACAACATAAAGCGGGAATAGCAAATGTTGACAAAATTGTAAAGTTTACTTACCGCGACGTACTGCCATCCATTGTTGACACGGACCAAAAGCGATTGTTCCTCAATGACGTATGCCAGCGTCCCGACGGGACTTACAGCCGACATCTTGAGCATGGCATCGCGATCCTTAAATGTTACGGCGCCTGGAACGATGTGAGCGGTAAGAGCCTGATGCTGCGGCATCTCGTACGTAGGAGGACTTGCCGTCGACCTGCCTAAAATCAAATGGAAACTTTTAATGCGACGCACTTTAGTTTATTGGCGAAAAAAATACCTTTTTAAAAGTATTAAAAATTGGCAATTTTATGAAAACAATTTTTTTAAAACACCTTAAACAATAAATTTGGGAAAAAAGAATTTAGACACTTTTATAAACTCTCTAAGTACCTAGTGTACTTTTTTAAATCAGTAAATTTTGCTAAAAATAATTATATTTACACCCTATTTTATGTAAACGACCTTAAAAATATTTTTTTTTGTAAATAGTTATGTTTATAAAGAGTTACTCTATAGAGTAACTCTTAAGAGTTATTTATTAATAATGAATAATTTTAATTGTAAATTAAATATAAATAAAAAATTATAACGTTTTAAAGACACATGTAAATTAAAAACAAACGTATAACTACTAGACAACTATTTTTTGAGTTTCACGAATTTATTTTAATTTAATTTGATAATTGTTTTGCTAACACACTATAGCTATAGCTTCTTCAGAAATTATTTTAAACTTTATCTAATAACAAACTTATATAACACAATTATTGCATGTAAATTATTTTTTTTTAATATTAGTACATTATGACAATTTTACCTGTGGAAGTATATTGTAACTTCAGTTGTAATACAATAATTTTGGGGAATTTTCCATCTTATATAATATTAGAATAAATTTAACAGAGGGGAATTATTTGTTTCTATTTTATCATTGAGTAGGTATAGGTAATATCAGATTTTTTAAATTTATTAATTTCTAATGATTCTAGTAAATTTAAATTCGTACCTTTATCTGCAACATGTAAAATTTTGAATTTATTCTTAAATGAGTGGTTTTCTTAAATTAAATTGTTGGCACAAGTTGAATATGTTTTTTGATTAATAAAAAAATTTCTATGTTTATTAATTCTGGTTTTAAAATTCCGTCCAGTTTGGCCTATAATAAGTTTTTGGACAGTCTGCACATTATAGTTGGTAGATTCAGAATTTCGTATCGTTTTATCTTTGTGGTTTTTTACAAAAGTAGGAACTTAAATTGTTGTTGGTTTTAAATGCAATATAAATAATATTCTTTTTGAAGAAATTTGACACACACAGTATCTAAGTATGTGACAATGTTTTATGTAAATGTTGGGTTCTTTTTTATTGGAAAGACTTGATTTAGATATAGCCATTTTCAGTTTTTTTTGTATATTATTAATTAACCATTAACCATTGTTAATTATAACCATTGTTAACTGCAATCTCCTGAATATTTACATATAATTTTATAAATTTTTCATTAATACCAGTGTGTTTCTACCCTGGGAATCGAATTTTGCCCCTCCTGGGTCGAGAAGTCACTAATATTTCAAATACTCTTTCATAGAGCTACCTAAAGCAAAACTAAACTTAAATCTAAAATATCTCGAAAACAAGAGCTTAACTAGAAAAACGACTAGCACCATTGGATTCAGAGTACTCTAATTAGGTAAACACCCCGGGTGCCCTGCTTGTTAGAAAAAAAAGTTTCCGATTCGAGCACAGTGTTATTAACAATCGCGAATAAAATCGGCACATTAGTAACGATTCGGCAGAAAAGTATATTGTGCGACAAGTCTCTTATTTTGACCAATAATTCCGATTTAGTTCCATTTCTGTCCCAATCCCGTCCCGTTTATGACCCGTTCCCTTACCGTCCCTGTCCCGTTTTTGTCACGTTCTCCCCCTTTCTTGATATTTGTAACATTTTCAGTAATCCAAGTAATTAGTTATCTATTCAGACCAATTCACTAACATGAGTCGTTGACTTTAGCCACGAGAATTAGTGGTTATCGTTATCTTTAATCGACCTGATTGGTCGGATTGGCCGATAACCACTGATTCTAGTGGCTAACGTTAACGACTTATTTTAGTGAATTGGCCTGATTGGCTGTCAATTACTTAATATCTAATTAATTAGTAATATTTAGGCTTTTGATTACTAAATATCTACATATTTAGTAAGTTTTTTATTGTTAATTATTAAATATCAAAATAATTAGCAAAATGTTCACTATTATTTAATACATTCTTAAATATTTAGTTAAATTTTCACTGTTAATTAATAAAAATTAAAATATTTAATACAATTTTTAATGTTTTTAAACAGGTATTAAAATATCTAATAAATATCCAAATTGTAAACTTTTTAATATTTATTATTAAATATTAGGATAATAAATAAAAATATTGTTTCTAATTTCTGAATATCCAAATATTCAGTAACTGCTTCTAAAATAATTGCTATTTTTATTAACAGTTAATTTTATTTTTTCAATCATTAGGTACTAAATTTAGCAATTAATTAAAAATATTTTTGTTTAATAATCAATTTTTAAATTATATTTTTGTAATCAATATTATTAAAAAAATAAAAAATATATAGGTATCATAAATAATTATTATTATATTATATGTATATGAATAATAATAATATATAATATTATATAATAAATATAATTTGCCGACCTCTGCTAAAAACGCGTTAAAAACCTTCATTTTCTTTGATTAAGATAATATCCATATTAAAGTTAATTAAACATAGCACATTTAAAACAAGTTATTAAATTATTTCCGCAAAACGGTGCTTTTTGACCTTTGTGCGACGTGTTGCAACTGCATTTTTATCTTAAAAAGTTCCCGAATAAAAATTATAAATGTTTTAAACGAACATTGATTTATCGTTTTTCAAACATAAATACTAAAAAGTTTTATTTGCTTTTTATCAAGTATTTGTTAGAAAAAATTAAAACCCATTAAGAGCGTTTTTAAAAAGGGTGTTTCCATTAATACTGCGAAAAAAATTAGAATGAGATTCCTTGAACCTTCTTATTTACATTTCCAAAAAGGCTTTTTTTCCGAAATAAATAAAAAATTTAGAATTAAAGATAAATTTTAATTTTAATTATAAAATTTTTAATATCCCCACATTTTGATAGCTTTTTAACATAATTCTGTAATTTCCTTGACATTAAAACGGCTAAACGGATTTTAAGGACCAAGACGCGGTAACCAAGGCCAAGATAGGCTAAACGGTTTAGCGTTATTGGACCATAACATTTTTTATAAATTAATTCATTAATTCACAGACAAATACATATTGACACTGACGAGGTTATTAATATATTTACAGCAAAGAAAGCCAGAATATTAAATTTGATCCTGTAGCCTTCTGAAATGTAAATTTTAGTTCTTGTTACTCTTTTTACTTATTTTCAATATTACATATCAATATCTATATCAATATCAATATTAGATATCAATTGGCAGTAGACCTCACCAGAAATAGTAAATCAAGCTAAGAAAACCATGCTAAATAATTTCTTTAAGCTCGTTACTCGTCGCACAATATTTGTTATTTATTTATTAATTTATTTTACACAATTTTATAGCTAGCAAAACAGTTCTGGTGCCGCTTACTTTATAAGTTTGTTCGGGTTCATGAAAAGAATGGTTTAGAACCGTTTGAATAATGCGCATTACAAAATTTGCGGTCGGGTTTTTTTAGAACCAGTTCTGAACTAGTAGCTCTTTTGTTTTTTTTGTTTATGATTTAGGATCAGCCCAGAACCGTTAAAAAATAAGACCAGCGTACGGATTTTTCTCTTGTCGCTTGCGCATTATATTTTTCCGTTTTAAATTACGTTAAGTAAGGTCATTTTGACAGATGTCATTGAGGCACCTGTTATTTTGACAGATGTCATTTCAGCACCTGTCCTTTTGGCACCTATTATTTTGATAGGACATTTGACACCTGTCATTTTGACAGCGGTCATTTAGGCAATTGTCCTTTTAAAATATGTCATTTTTGTACCTGTCATTTTGACAGTTGTCATTTTAAACAACGTCTGTACTATTGCATGGAAATTGGAGGGAATACATTCGTTACAATGTTTTGTTTTTTCTCTAAATTTATTTAATTTAAAAATTCAAATAGCAATTTCTCGAAAATTAACTGACAGATTTTTGAAAAAATTACAGACCTTTACAACGATATTACTTAACCGCCCATGCAATTTATGATTTTGGGAACGGGAGGGGTGGAGCGTGTAAGAGTGCGGGTGGGGGCGTAAAGCATACATTAAATTGTGTCCCCCCTAGAAATAAAAATTAACGTGTACAAGGAATTTTGTCCACATTCACCCGTTAAAACGTTTGGGGGATACAAGTTTTCGTTGGAACACCCTGTATATCTTTTACAATAATTGTAAATTATTTAAAGCCATTGACTTATAATAATTATTATAATTGGACTCAATAAGTGAATGTTTAAAGCATATAAAAAGTACGATTTAGACTCTAAATCGTAAAATTTAGAGGTTAAAATAAACAATACTGAAATACTGAATACAGGCGACTTTAAGAACTACCGTTAAGCGTTTTGGTTTTTAACTAGTTCAGAGAGTTCGATTTAATCCTTCATGTAAGAAATATACCGGTATTTCTCGACAATATCGCAAGCTTTGAACTTTCAGCGAGGTATTTTGTGATTTGTGTAATCGATTTAGTGGATGTTTCAAGATTTGAAATTCCACATGTCTGTGGGTGGATGGCCTTGAGAAGCTCATGGACGTAAAAACTTGTAACTGGGCAGTAAAAGCCTCATTGGCTCGAGTCCAATTCTCTAGAGAAAATAAAAAGTATAGAAGAAGAAGAAACTAGTCCAGAACGGTTCAGAACCCTTAAACTGCTTAGACCACAGTTCTGCGCAATCTTCCTTATTTTATAATCCGAACAAACCTTATATTATACCTTTTGTATTAATTCTTTAATTCTTTCATTCCATTATTTATTAATTTTTTAATAACGATTTATACCTATCCATTCTAAAAAACTTAACTTTTAAATATTTTCAGTTTATATTTTTACACCATAAATTTTGATTAATATTTCTGACATTTTGAAATATTTATTTCGGAAAAATGCACAGTTCCTGTGAAATTGGGTAATAACTCTGAAATTGGTTTTAAAATAATTAA